TCATTAGACTCCAGGGCGATAAAGCACAATGGACCCCAGGGGAAATTACAGGAAATGTGGTTCAACGTACTGGCACCAAGTACGGAAAACTGAAAGACAGGTAGGAGAAATTCCGCCTCAGCCCGTTGTTATGTCGGCTCTGAGTAACTGAACACTCGAGTCCACATTTTAGAAGAGATGAAAGACTGACATTGTGAATATTCTAGAGTAGGCTAAAAATTCCTCGAAACCCACCAAAAGTTTCGACTGACAAGCGATGAAATTCGACTTACAAACAACATTGCGGACTTACAGCTCCTGAGCCCTTGTGGTTTCGTCAATTACGAAGGAGGTTTTCTTTACTGTTTAAGCTCTTAAGCAGTCGTTCTTTTAACTTGCTTACTACTGTAAAACATCTTGACCACCCTTAACGCAACAGTCACCGCGAGATCCCTTTATTTATTCCTCTAGCACGTACAGTTACATGTCGTCAGTTCTTTTCTGTGAATACAATTGCAATCTGGAAAAAATTACCAAGGAATGGAAAAAGTCTGTAAAATATTTTTCGTTAAAGTGACCTACCACTCGTTTTCTGAATTCAGAAAAACTCCTACAATGTTGGACGCTGAATCTATCGAATTAGTCTACCGTAGTGATGGCGTGCATCGTCTCTGACCCCCTTCAGGGTCTCACCCTATGAGAAATGTTGCTGACTCTACAACCGACGAGTCTTTAATAAAAAAAATTATTATTATTAGCGACAATTTCTTCAGCCAACAGCGACAACTGTTCTTTCACGGTTCTGTTTGGTCCAGTACTAGTTTCATGAAAAAGAATAGAAACTGAAGACATCCGATTCAGTGTTGACTGGTCCTTTTGGGGGTGACGTCATTTCACAGGCAACAGGTTTTCCTCTGCCTTGTTTAATTTCCGAGGAAATCGATATGCGAACTTAGAGCAAATCCTTCGAAACAGACCTTTTTCAGGCACGGTCCACAATTCGGTATTAAAATTTGGGGTGAAATTTATCTGAATCATTCAAACAATCCTAAACACTATCGCCTATAGTTACTTCCTCAAGAGTTTTTTTTCACTACTAGCCAGATTCGTGCCTTATGTATCTTTGACAGTGCCCGTAAACTGGGATGAAATGCAGTTATTATCACCACTTTATCCTCCTAATGAGGGCACTGTCGAGAAAACCCAAAGCCAATCAGGAAGAGGAATTGAGTTACGTCTCCAGAGGAAACTGAAGACAAATCAGCCCCAGAGAACAATAAGGCAGTCGACGCCGATGCAACAGAATTGAATCAATTTTTATCCCTTGGGACGGTAACTTAACCTACCAAATCACCGAACGCTAATAATGTAAGAACCATGGTGAAACTCAAAAGACCCGTTGGGAAATATAACAAGGGCTCGCACTTATTTCTTGAATAGGACGCTGTTACTGAGCTGGGAAGTAACTTAAACACTCCTTTTATGGAAGAGGACACGCAAGCTCTGGTTACAGTAGACAGCAGAAGACAATGACTGTGAAAGTTCCCTAGCTGAAGCCAGTACTTCATACCAAAACGTAGGACCCATAACACAAACTCGGGCGAAAACCAATCTAATGTCTATGTGCCATTGTGCAAGAGAAGCTCCACAGTGGCAAAATATCGTCTTGGTGCAGGCGATACGATAAGTAGTCCTGCATTAAATCGCAAGCATAATGTCATATTAAGGCCTGTCCCAGAGACCATGTCATACGTTTCACGGCCTAGATAATCTTCATTAAAATGCCAGTACCGGGTTGAAGGACAGGGAACTGTTTGCCGTAAAAAGCTTTCCAACTATGTGAACAGACCCAGGCCGTGACCTAAACACATCCCCTAAGCCCCTAAATGCTATTTTAGAAAACGACGTCTCTGCCTTACGCAGCTCGCACAAAAAAGGGTTTCTTCGGCCTGACCTAAAACAGAGGACGAGGTTGAAATATAGGAGGAATGAGGACGGGATTGAGGGAGAGAATTGGCAGAGAGCGGGGGCTGAAATTCAAAAAATGTCGAACCAGCCCAGAACAAGAGATTTTCCTACAGCCAAAATTTGTCCCAATGATAACTGGTCCTTCCTGACGAGGCTTCCACGTATGGTCATCTCCACAGATGTGCATAAAAATAATAATAATTTTTATTCAAGACCGCGGAGTCCGTTTATAGCAAGTAAGAATAAGTTCTCCATGAATTTTAGAACAGGTATACAGAATCCATACAATACTTTATTCTGTGGCGACCAAACGATGTGAGCTTGTATGTCTGTACTCAGTGCGCTACAATCACCAGGTCGAACTCCATGTTTTGGAAGGGGAAGACAAAAGGCACCAGAATGAGTGGTTTATTATGCATAGAACCCGGAGTTGGCCTCTCAGGCTCCAGTGGCCATTGGCGAAGCCAGGGCTGGTGTTGACTGCGTCCAGTCATGCCTGTAAGTCCCTGAGATGGTGGTGTCAGCCGCTTTTGTAGGCTCGTGGGTCGAGCTCAAGCGGTGGCCAGTCAATGTGTGTTGTACTTGCAGAGGGTTAGTGTCCCAATGGCCAAGGTTGTGTATGTAGGGGGTGGGGTGCGTTCAGTTGGCCGCAAGAGAAGCTGCGGCTGTGCGGCGCAGGTATTCCCAAGCTGTCGGTCGTGTGACTTCAGGTCAGCGCGTCTGGGCCGGCTCACTGCAAAAGGGTGGATGACCTTGAGGCAGCGAGATCATGAACAGTCATGATGGCTGCCCACTACAATTCATAGCTAATGAATAAGTTGTTTGTTACAGAGAATGATGAGCGAGCAGTGAAAAAACTCCTAACATAAACAAAATGAGTATGACTGGATTAACTCTATGGGAGAAAAACCCTCACCCTTGAATGTATAAAAAGCAGGCAGGACCGGCCTGTATGTGGCAGTGTATAACGGATGTCATGAAGGGGTAAGTAGGCGGGCCAGGCAGAACTGGCCTGTATGTGGTATCGAGTAAAAGGTTCGAAACGGGCATCATCAAGGCAGAATTCATATGCCGGATGAGGCCTTTCATGTCAAATTGGCGAATAGAAAACCAGTTTCGAGGCGGTATGAACCCAGATGCGATCGGTTACAGTCAGCCGAGTCCAGCCGAGGAGGGACAAGGAAGATGCGACCTGACTACTATTATATGGCGAATACAGAAGGTTCCGCCACGAGCGTCGATAGAGCGCATTCTGTGAGGGGCACGATGCATGAACTGAAAAGTCAAAAAAATTGACATTTCTGATGAGGGATCCTAGGAAGCGATACTACCCACAAAAGAAGGAAATGTGAGCGGAAACGGTAATTTAATGGTGGCGTCCTAAATTCCCCATGGCCCTTTCTCGGTGTCATTGAGAAAGTTGTCTATAGAGATGCTGGCAAGTAAGAGTCAAGAGGATGACTGTTGTGCCGACTACAGTCCCGTTGTGAACTTATGAGAATATAGAGAGTGCGGACTTAACTCGAAATCATAATAACGGCAGCCTGTAAAAGCGCCAAAAAACGGAAATCTTCTGGCCAGTAAGTTCCTCAGAGGCCGAAAACTTCAAGCTGAATCCGAAGCGCGCGCACTTCTGAATAAATTTCAGCAAAGGCTGATAATACAAACTAGTATATTAATCATATTACAACCGTGCATGTGGTTATGAACGCATTTAGTGTAACATGACATCTAGGCTATAAAGCTCATCTAGACAGCGGAATTTGTTTGTGCTAAATAATGTCGACACAACTTACCAATTGCCACCCTTCACTGTATAATAACAATAACGAATAAGAAGCAAACGAGCAGTTGGATTTGCACACAAGATTAGTGCGAAGCAGCAAGTTCGTTACCCAGTGCACATAGAGTAAACAATGAAAATGAATACTTATAAATTCAATACAAGAAAAAAGGGGAGAAATTAAATGGTCAACAGGGCGTTAGCAATCTGCAGTACTATGGATTTCCAGGCAGAATTCTCATGGGCAGTGTGGTTGGCCTAGGTTGGGTTTCTCGTTCCCTACGTAATCTTTTTCGCAAAACCGCCATGTGTAGAATGTTTAGTGCCTGAACATGTACTCAGAAGGGTATTTTGATGCGAAAAGTGTGACCACCATCTACGAGTTGTTCCGTTATGGTAGAATGAGGGATTTTAACTTCATGCTTTAAAAGCCGCCTAAGCAGGTATGCCAGCTGCCCTTGCGCTCAGTCATTGTTCTTGCACCAGCAAGTGCATGAAAATTCAGTAGCACAGTTATCGGTGGCGTGCAATAGCATGGAATCCTTTACTCGTGGGTTTGAAATGGCCTTTTTGGACTACTGAGTTTGAGCTCGGTTGCATTGTGCGTCGTTTTAAGGATGGTATCTTAGAAACCCTCAAGCAGCGGTTTCAATTCGTCATGGAAAGGGCACACAATGCAACCGAACTCATAGTAAACAGTCCTAAAATTCCACTTCAAATACGTCGGTTAAGGATGCCTTGCCCTTTCGTTTACCAATGTTCTCGCATTGTGGGTGTATGGAAATCCAGTATCACAGTTGGAGGTGGCGTGCAACGGCATGGGTTCCTTAACTCATTGGTTTGAATAAGCATGTTTAGGACTGCATTGTGTGTCCATTTTATAGCGTATCACAAACGCCGCTTGATGGTGTTTAAGACTCCATCCTTAAAAGGTAAAAACATTGTACCAACATCTTCGGGACTCACCATCCAATTAGTTTATTTCGCACGTGGCTGCTGAATTTTGAATGAAACGTTCTCTGTGCTTCCTAACTTTTCATTTTGTATTGCGTTTTTACATTGCATTTCTTGTTTTCAATAATTGCGCGCTTTCTCCGCATTGGTGACTTGGTTGTGTGCAGTTCGGTTTTTCTTGCCGGCTGTCCGGTAATCAGCCAAATCTGTTGATAGTGAGTGGCAACATCCACCGTCCCCAACATCACAATCGTTATTAAATGATGTTAGGGTTCGGAAGCCATCGTCCTCGACTGTATCAGCAGATGGATTAACCATGGCAAACAGCGTGTCTACCTCCATCGACGTATTTAACGCAGGAGCACTCGTGGAGGCAAACACCTCAGGTTTGTCAATCGCCGTTTTACGTGGTGACTCTTTGGCAGAGCTTCCATATCCCAAGCGTGAGACAGAAGACTCTTCCTACGAGAAATTCACTGACGATTTTGAAGGTGGTTGTTGTCCGCGTGAGTGGTTACTCAATGCCTGTATTCAGATCTTTTTCTGTTCTGTTAAGATCAAAGGCGTCCTGCGATGCATCAGTATCTCACACAACAAGTTGTATATATGTTGAACTGGATTGGGATGGCTCCCTTGCCTCCCCTTTGCATGTCTATCCAACCGGTTTTACCCATCTGGGACCAGTCCGCCGATTGATTCAAGTCGTTGACGGAACCATATTGAGTCCAGCGCTTCAGCGCCATCGGTTAGGGGGGAGACCTGTTAGCAGGCCATCTGTTTCCCGTCTTGTTACAAGATTCTGCAGATTGATCCTCATAACCAAGTCGTCAAGGCAACTGCGCCGTCAGTATAATCAGGGATTGCATTGGCCTTCGTGAGGGAAACTTCATATGCCATCGGCTGCTTTTTGCAGCGTACTTTTATTTCTTGAGACAGACGTCTAGGTCGAAAAGTCATTCACGCTCTGAGGTCTTGCGATTCTTGCTTGTTTCTTTCTCATGGTTTCTATTTTTGAGTATACCCTCGGACCTGTTACACCAAGGTTATGCGTTTGGGAAAGAAGGCTCAGGTGGACAAAAGACTGATTCAGATGGGCATTTATTATGGTAATCTTTGAAAATCCTGAGGTTTTAAAGGCTGGTCGGCTGTCTGCTAACCAAAGCTACTGATCAATTACGGATACAGCACTCACATTTTGCCAAAGTGTGCTCGATAGGAAGTTCCTAAACAGGACTTACTTCTCACTGCTTACCTCTCCTACTCTGGCCTTTGCCAATTTTGCAAAGAAAGTCTTGTATAGACTCGGTACTTCTTGCCACGCAAATTTCCTTTTCTCGTCATTGTTGCCATTTTGGTTTCCGCACTGTGTTTATATGGGAATGGTACCCCTGTGCCGCCGCTGCTTCTGCGGCGGCGGCGGCTGCGACCGAGCCCTCTCCTTGTTGGATGTCTTTGCGCCAAAATGGCAGTTTTTTTCGCACCAACCGCCTGACCAAAGGAGATCCTGATTCCTTCTTTCTCTGTTTAGACCCGGATTCCACTCCAGCTCTGCGAAATCATACGTGCGAGTTTTGTGGCGACTCCTTTACACAAAGCGGACTACTGAAGCGACATGTCGACTATGTCCACAAAAGTACGCGCCTTTTCCCTCATCTGTTCACAGTTTATCTTTAACTTCTATTTCCTCATGTAGTGTTGTGTGGGCTTCCTACGCGGCGCCTGTTTTTACTGCTTTTTTCTGTAACTGTCCTGCTGCACAGTATCATTGCTTCGAGATTTCAGCGCCTCTACCTGTTTTGGAAATATTTTGCCACCCCTGTGAACGCCAGGGAAATGGTGGTAGACATGATGAATGCGCCCTTTGTTTGATGAAGTCAGCCTAGAGGACCTTTTGATCATTAAATCGAATATGTCTGCCTCTATCCTGCCCCGGTTGCTTTTCCTGCGAATAAAAGACACGCGTAAGACGAGTGACCACGGCGAAAGCCGCACTGGACAGTACATAGTAACTGTCCGTGCTCTGGGTGCGCTATTAGTTTTTTCCTGATAAATCGTTCCATATCACAGCACAAAATACAGGTTAGATACAGGATGATAATATTCCGACCGCAGCCTAGACTTTTTATTCCAGGTTTTAGAGATAATGACGATCCTCCATTCCCCCGGCAGTTCCCTATCTTTACTGACCTTTGAAAAAATCCATGCTTGTGTACACAGTGTGTTGACTGAATTTTTGATGGGGGAACGAGTTCTTTATATGCGGGAAAGTTTGATTGACAGCACGACAATTTGGCATTTATTTGCTTTGTATCGAATAATTAAAAAAACATTAGCCGCCTTGCCAATGGCTTTCAATTTACTTACTGAGTCGCTTATAAAGTTTGCGCCCCCATGTGTATATTAATGTGTATGAACTAACTCGTTGAGTTATGGCCGATTGTCGCTTCATCCGGGACGACATTTCTGCATTCCTCGGGCTTATTCGTGTTAAGCTAGGCCACAGGGGTATCGCTGGGGGTTTCCAACGACTTTCCCAGCTGTCCCGTAGCCTGATGACCATTAAATACTGCCTTCCCTGTCGACTCGGGTCGTAAACCGTGACCCAAATTTTATAAGTCAGTCAGCGTGCCAGATCTCAGACCTCCATTCCCTGGTAGCATTACTGCTGCTGGCCCGCGCCTTTTTATTCGCCAGATCCGAGTGGCTACTTATTACACAGCTGACATTCGCTGAAGGCTGTCCCACTGTCCGCGACGTATGGAGTCGCCGAGTAGCTAGCAGCTAGTCCAACAAGCATATCATCGTCCCTGGACGCATTGTTGAAGCTAGCTGAGGTCATCAGTACAATCAGAAATAGCATTCGCGTTTGCGAAGGAGGCCTCATATGCGTTCTGTTATCTTTCTGAGCGTACGACAGACATCCGGGCCGATGAGGCTTTTTCCCTCTGAGGCCAAGTACACTGATAAACTGCCGCATTACGACCCTTGTGCGTTTCATTTACCCGATCCATGATTTTGTGCATGCCTACAAGAGGCTCTGGTGGACAAGATGCTGACTCTGATTAAGATTGGAAGTTGCTATGAAAGTCCTTAAAAGTCCTGTAGTCTTCAAGGCTGGCCAGCTGCCTACTACCTGAAGCTGCTCATCGATTGCTCACTTCCAGTGCGGATGCTACACCTGAATTTTGCAGAAGAAGCGTACTCGATAGGAAGCCTTTAAGGAGTGCCCACTCCTCGCCATTTATCTCTCCTACTCCGAACTTTGCTAATTTTTCAAAGAAGGTCTTGTGTAGACTCCCCTTCGTCTCTTGCCACTGTCAGCGTCTTTGGTTGCTGTACTACGCTTAGATAGAAAGGGTGTTCTTTTGCCGCTGATGCTGCTGCAGTCGCCATGGCGTCAGCCAAACAGTTTACCAGTTTTATTTTGGTGTCTGTCGCTTGGCCGAAGGCGATACTTTTTTTTTATTACTGGGGGCCTTTTTTCCTTTCAGATCTGCGAGAGAATACGTGCGAGTTTTGTGGCAAGGCTTTTATACGAAGTTGTTTACTGAGGCGGCATGTCAACGGTGTCCACAGAAGTACGCGCCTTTTCCCTCGCTGGTTGACAGTTTATCTTCAACTTCTATTTCCCCATGTAATGTTGCGTTGGTTTCCTACTCGGCGCTTGTTTGTGCTGTTTATTTTTCCCTGGCTGTCCTTCGTGCGAGAAATCCCTTACTTCAGCTGCAATTATACCTCCATCATGGGTCGCTATGAAAAGGCGTTTGACGCAGCAAATGCGAGGCTTTGTTTCCACGCACACTGACTTCAACTACCACTCCGACGGATTCGCACTGCGCTTTAGCTTTACTCTGTGGTCAGGTCTCTTCATTTGCATTCTAGCTAGGTTATCTACTTTGCTCAACAGTTACCCCAGCCCGCACTGGGTCCCTCCACCCAGCATTCAAGTCGTGAACGCCAGTTGGGTGTGATATCCGACGTCAGTCACAGCAGAGTTCTGGGCCTTAGTGTGTGCTTGTTGCAAGTCGTATTATGCAGTTTCGTCCGACTGCTGATCGGCCTGAATCGACATGGGACGGCTGCGGAGACTTAGGCCATGAGTTTCGCTGAGGCCATAGTCCTGGCCTAGATAGATGGGACTGTTTCTTGTCAAAGTGGTGCTTTGACGATTTACTGTGGACGTCCAATTTCATTAGTAAAAATGCAATCCGAGAAGGAGTTGTATCATTCTTTGATTTCCCTTTTTGTCTTTGTTTTAGAGCTGCGAGAATTTGTATGTGAGATTTGTGGCAAAGCTTTTGCTCAGAAGTCGGCGCTGAATAAGCATATTGACTTTGTTCACAAAGGTGCGCTCCACTATCCCATAAGGTTTACTGTTTCATTTTTGTGATAAATTTACCTTTAATGTCGGTGTTTTGTGCCTTGTTGTTAGTTTTCGACGGTCACTTTTACTCGTGGGACTTTTAATCAAGGAAGGTAACTCTGCGTGTCGTCCAACGCCATTACTCTCACCTTCGTGGTAAACAGAGTCCTCCATGCATACAGTTAACAATCCGTCATACATGAAATCACACTAAGGATTAAACGATATTTAGATGTAAACTTCACTAAAACACTGTTATTAGACGTTAATTTATGTCTATTTTCATATTTGCTACGTTTTTGGCATGAGAATACATTCTATACATCTAAAAACGAACTTTACTCAATTAGAGCCATTTCTGGCGTTTTCGGGATATTGGACTTTTCAAAATAAGTCGCCATTTCTAAACATTGCAACACTGCCTTTAGTATTTCTTTTATGCTTTTAATTCTTTTAAACTTGTACATAATTAACATGGGCACTGAACTCATGAAATGGTGTCGGTTTGCGAGTGATTGGCAATCATTCGTAAATTTCGACACATTTCATGAGTTAGGTCACTAACTGTATGTGCCACACGCTCTCATCTCCTTCCAGTATTAGTCTCAGAATGGGTCGCATCCACGTGCCCTTTTGCATCGCATACTACTGATAAATGTCCCAATGGCCGAATTTTGTGTGTGCATTTTGTGGTTATTTAGTTGGGGCGGTAGATGGGAAATTAAGTGTCAGATTTCTCTTAAATAGACGAGCCTGGATCAAAGCAACTGGCGCTAAGATCGGGCAGAGTAGTTGACTGACGCGAAATCCCCATCTAGCATGTCTGGTGTTTTGCCTAGCTCGCCTACGCCGGCGTAATCCTTAACCCGATATTTCGAACAGGCGATTGGGGCGGTTCATCTTTCAGTCCGGATGCTACTGGTCATTCCCGATGAGCCACGGTTTAGGCGAGGATAGTATGACCTGAATGCTAGTGGTGTATGCTCTATGGCTCAACTTCCAGGGAGTCGGTGGCTTACGAAGCACTTTCTAGTTCAGCAACTGCCCGCATGGAAGATTAAATCTCTCGGACCGCCACTTATTGAATCGCAATAGGCATAAAAGGTTCGCGAGATCCTTATGCTGAAGCCATAGAAACATGACAATTCGACCGTCGCGGTCGACGGCGTCCACTAAGTGCCCTACTGAGTGGGCGCTGTGGCGGTTGCTAGGTGGAAATCAGTTCATAGTGAGACGTTTACCAGAGTTCTGTAAGAGTCCCTCGTATCTCGTGTGCGGAATTGTACCAGAAGAGTCACACTAAGAAGGAGTCATTGCCGACGGACTCTGTTCTGAGGTGGGTTAAGTTATGCCGCTAGTGGAAAGCCTTCCAAGCCACCACTCCTACCTCGGCTTGGTAGACTCAAGAACGTCAGGTGTGTTATGGTGAGCAATGAGCCGATATTCCGGGAGGATGTCGGTCCGGCTGACCCTTTCCCCCCCCCCCTCCACCTCGCAATCGACTGTGAGAACTTCTTAATCAGATGGGTGTGAGATTGGGTGCAGTGACTAACGTGGCGTGGAGGCCTACGTCTGTTCTTATCCCCCCTCCTCAAATGCACAGTCCTAATAGTACTAGCAGTATTAGTGGTAGTAGTAGTAGTAGTAGTAGTAGTAGTAGAAGTAGCATTAGCAGGTAGTAGTCGTAGCAGTTAGTAGTAATATTATTATCATTAGTAGTAGTAGCGTCAGTAGTAAGCAGCATACTCTTGCGGACTTCCCTCAGCCTGGTTAGCGCGTGTCGTTTGTCGGCAGTCCGGTTCCCCCGGTTTTGTCCATCACAGCCCTATGTAGGGGCCAGGGCTTAGGGATACGATAACACGCGCACACAGCGTAGTAAACACCGTAAGGTTTTATAGGATAGACCAGGGAATATGCAAAGTACGTAATGGTAGGGGGCGCTCACCGATCGTCCTTACGGAACTCGCTCGTAATGGACTTTCTGCGCCCAAGCAGCTGACAAGGAAGACCAAATACCCCACTTGCCTCTTGTGGGTTGCGATCTTTGCGTGTCTCTGCGGGAGGTAATGTTTTACGGAGTCCAGGATCACGGGCTCCAATAACTCACCGGATCGTATCCTGCACTCTGTTTCATCTGTGCATGTTCAGAACGGCCCAGTAGACGTTTGCTGAGTGGCTTTATTGTCATTGTAGCCCTGCGTCCCTTCGCCTGCGAGATTTGTGGCCGAAACTTCGCGGAGCAAAGACACTTGAGGAGTCACATCGATCATATTCACAAAAGTATGCTTTGCTTCCTTTCCGCCTGATTTATTCTTGTTGTCTTTCATTTAGTTCAGAATCGCCATTCGTGTTCTAGTCCTCGAAAGTCTTGTAATTATTGTGCTGCGTGTTACTGTAATGAAGGAACCTGTGAGACATTTTTCGTTTTGATTCCATTACCTGATGCTATATTGGTTTCCGTCTCCTTCACCCTAAATGTCACTGTGAATCCGGCGCTTGTTGGTGACAAAGTCGACGAACGTGTCGAGTTCTGGATCGAGCACTACCTCTTAATCTCCAAGATCAGTCTCCAGATTCCATCAGGCAATAATCCTCGAAAAAGAAGCGCTCCTAATGAGCTGAGCGTAGCTCTTACGGATTGTGTCGTCTGCAGACTAATAGTTTTCATATGACTGGGCGACAATCAAAGGTATTGCACCCTAAACAGGATGGTGCTAAACTTAAATAGAGTCAACTGTGAGACGCAATCTATGCGCGACTGCAGTTGAGGTCTTTGCACTAGGCAAATGGTCCGACAAGTAGGTTCGGCATCAACCCTCCTGGAGGCCCAAATGTCCTAAGAGGTCAACTGAATCCTCATATACAACCCGTCTTCGCTAATTGTTGTCAGCAACGACAACACAAACACGATGTTCTTATGTCGCAACGTAATTGTCAGAGGAATTCGATGCGCCGGGGGATTTGATTGAATTCTTTCACAACATATTTGATGGCAAATTCTTCAGGCGGCAAGGGGGCGCTCAACAGTTTGCTACCAGTCGGTGCAGTATCTGATCTGACCAGTTAACTTACTGTTGCGTGAAATGTTTGCGAGAGCAGCTGTGCCTGTATCAGAGATATACAGGCACGGCATGCCTTAAAGCTGGGTGCACTTACCAATGGGCTTCGGAAGGTGTGGAGTCAACAAACCCCCTCCTCTCCCCCTCCCACCCGAGACTTCAATGGCGTCACCCCTGGTGATCCCGAAAATGTGCCACGGTAGTACACAGTGATCGTCAGGGACCCTCTCAGCACTCAACATCATAACAGCACTTTCATCTGGTACAGGAATTGCTGCCGGGGAGGCATTGCTGATGCTATAACGTCCTGGGATCACTGACATTGTCTTCGTCGCTCACCACGAAACGCGGACCCGTCGGCCCACCAAGCCCGTTGTCAGGGGAATTTCGCCAACACGCTGAACCCAAGTCAAGTCTGAAGAATAATTCCTAATTTTGCTCGTCTGCGAAAGTTAATGCAAAACGTGAGACAATTTCAAAACTTCATGTCAGGCAACCTTATCGACCCAGGACCATCGGCTCCTCGAAGAATATTCACTCAACACCACCGCAGATATGGGCTTGTAACGGGCCACAAACCACTTAATATCTGTATGCTCAAGCTTTGAACTTATCTTTGCCACCAATCACCAAACAGTGATCATAAGTCGATCGGCATACACCGTTGTTACGGAGAACGAATGCTCTTACTGGACAACGGAATCATGAGGCTCACCACAATCAATGGGAATACTGGTGCGTAACGCTACGAACGTCCAAATACCTCTTGCACGTCTTCAGTGGCAACGCAGATTCAGAACTGCCCTGTGGAAGGGATAACGACTTGCGAAACACTGCGTCTCGGGTCCACACGTCCGTAAAATGTTACTCCCGCTGCCATTTAAGATCTACCATGAGCCACCATGAGAGGACGTTCGACGTAACAAATGCGAGACTGTTTTCCACGTACGATGTCCTCAACCGCCACTCCAGCGGATTCGCACTGCGTTTTACTCCGTGGTCCGCCCTCCCCTTCATTTGCGTTCCGACTAGATTATCCAATCTGTGCAACAGTAACGCCAACCCACACTTTTTGGCGTAGGATATCTGCTGCTGGGTCCCTTTACCCAGCATTCAAATCGTGAACGCCAATTTCTTTCAAGATGCTATTTTGATGGCTTACTTTAAACGCCCGATTTCATTAGTGAAAATATAAGGCAATCCCAGAAGAAGTTGTCTCAGTCTTTTTCAATTAATTCCACTTTCGTTTTGTGTTGTAGAGTTGCGAGAGTTTGTGTGTGAGATTTGCGGCAAAGCCTTTACACAGAAGACAAGCCTGAATTATCACATTGGCACTATCCACAAAGGTGCGTTTCTTATCCTCGAGGATTTTCACATTATTCATTTAATAAGTTTGCTCTAACTGTCGTCACAATTTTCACTTGGCGGTTTTGTATTGCTGCTTGTTTGCGACGACCAATTGGTCTCGTTGGAAATTCATCGACTGAAATTTCCAGTGTAACTGTTGCGCCATTTTTCTCACCCCTGGATTAAACAGTGTCCTCCATTTTAGTGTGCCATACTTTGTTTTCGTCCTAATATACCTTTCCTTTGAGTATCAACCTTAGAAAGGCCCCCTATCTCTTGGGTTTACGCATATCCACATCACCGTATACGCTGGGACGCCCCTACACCAGTTCGTCCAACGCATCCATGACTGCCTCAGGATGCAGTGATGACTTGCGAGTGAATCGATTGGTATTGTGGACGACTTGCACAGCATTTGCCTCGCCGTTTTCGCCCACGCCTACAGCTTTCTAATGGAAGTACAAGGTGAGAAAGGCTGTAAGTGGGTGCGGGCATGACGACTGACGAGTGCTAAGCCACGACTACACGTGCCTCGCACGTGCTGGTCCTTGCTCCGTGCGACAGAATCTTCGATGAGGGAATTTCGATCATCATCCATCCGTTTGACTCCATAATGGCCACATTTTTAGCGAGCCATCACTGGGTTTGGTTAAATTGCTTCGTCAGTTGGCACCCCACGACTAGTAGCCGGTCGTGGTCTTCCCAAAGTACGAGAGACGGGTCAAGCGCCGGACATATGTTGAATAGAAAGAAGTCCGGAGCAAAGGAACCCGTGATAAGACCGAGCAGAGTTGTTGTCGTGACGCGAAAACTCCGCCCCAACACGTGCCACGCGTCCGCATGCTTACGACTTGGTACCATCGTACGCCGCACCATGTGCATGAGTCGCTCTATGCAGCCTAATTTCTGCATGATTTTTCGTAGTCCGTTGCGATTCACCGTATCGAAGACTTTCTTCAGGGTGGTGATGGGTCCACATCTGTGCTGGCACTTCTGTTGTAGCCAGCTTTGGGGAGCGTAAAACGGTGATACTTTCAGATGTAACTGGTCCAGCCAACAAAATAAAGGTCGTAAACCACTGCTGCATGACCACCTCAACGCAAATGTCTTGCTCACGAACCTTCCGATTAGAATGGGACCGTTTTTGTACTCAAGCCATACCTTTGTGGTCGTGGGTTCGAGTCCCATTGAGGCCTCTGGGGTTTGCAAAATGAGGTCAAAGGATGGGGTAAACCTCTCCGTCCGCTACTTTCTGAATAACGAAAAGACGTCACATACGCAGGAATGACAATTCAACTGTCGAGGAGAAGGAAATCCAGTGTGTGCTCCAAGGAGCTGGCTCGGCAAATGTTACTTGTGTGGATATTTTTTTGTTATGAGACAGACTTGCTCACTATGTAGCTTACTCCCTCCTCCCCCTCCCGACAAGTTTCCTTACTGTCGGCCTCACTAGCTCTTACCTCTCCCTTTTATTGCCGTTGTCTTTTCGGCAGCGTCAGCGTCAGAGCCCTCTTCTTATTGGTTGCTTTTTTTTAGTCAGATTGGCTATAATTTTACCGCCTGACTGAATGAGACTCTGGTCATTCCCTTCTTTATTTAGACCTAGTTCCCCTTCCAGCCCTGCGAAATCATACGTGCGAGTTTTGTGGCAAGAATTTTACACGGAGCGCCCTTCTGAAACTGCATATCGACGGTGTACATAAAAGTACGTGCCCTTTCCCTCCCTGGTCGATATTTTTTCTTCAAGTTATACTTCCCTTTGTAAGTGATCGGACGATAGTTGTTCCTGTTTGTGGCAAAGATAGAGATGTCGCGTCGTTCCTACGGACAGTGAGCATCAACATAGTGGAGACCAGCCAGTCTTCCACGTACAAAGTCACAGCCGTCAAAACCGCGGAGAACCCCTCAGAGATCCCGATCAGTGCTGTCGTTGGACAGAATGGGCGACAAGTTGTGGCCTTGTCGATCGTCAGATCGAATGATATAGAACGACTGGCAGAGATTGTCCAAACCGGATCTCACGAAGTAATTGGGCGATAGTTTCCCCTGTTCGTGGCAATGATCTTTGCTGGAATACTATGCAATTCGATTATTGGGCACAGGGACTGGCGATGAACGGAATCGAACGCTACGGTGCTGGGCATGACTGACTGACTGACGACGATTAATGCGTCCAGAAGTGGCCATCCCAGTCTCCCTTGTCTTGGTCGGCACTGCTTCCAGAGTGCTTGGCGGAAGCCTTGTCGTGGAGATTTTTGGGAATACTTTACAGACATAATTATTGATTCGGGCCAAACTGTTAGTCTTGCAGATCACATATTTGCGAATTTGGACAAGGTGGAAGGTTCCAGGTGAAACCGACTTGGATCTTCATAGACAGGAGTGACTAAGGGCTTTCCTTGCGGCCGTTTTGCTCTTATTTGGCTTCTAGTCATAAAAGCATCCGGCGCCGAGGCGCCGTAACTCACGGCCTGCAACCGTCGTATGGCGGATTGGCAATCACTAATTTGTCTCAATCAGCTCCTGATGCTTGGACATGTTGTTGCGGTTCAAACCAAAAACTATCAAACTGATGACCTTTTTATTTTCATTTTAGAACTGAGGCCGTTTGCGTGTGAGGCCTGTGGCTCAGCTTTTATTTCGAAGGGAAATCTAAAGAGACATATCGACGCAATCCACAAAAGTACGCTCCTCCCCTCTCTCGGTTGTCTGTCATTTCCGTTGTCTGCCAGTTTCTGTAACTCTTCAAGTTGCTATTTTATGAATTGGAATAGTATCACGTTACCTGTACCGCCATTTAAGTTTTTTGGCTGCAGCTTGTAGTGTTCGTCAGTTTTTAAAGCAAAATGATATGCGCTTGTCGTCCATGTTGATGGTCGTTTGTTAGGTTCGATTTTATTCAAGGAAAATGTTTGTCATCAACCCTTAAGCTCCCGTTCGTTACGAGCTGGGGAGGTATATCAAAAAGATGGAAACGTAAGCATCAAACAGGTGCAGAAAAATTACCGAATCTGTGCAGATAATCGGGTTATTCGAAATGTTGAAAACACCGGCACTACTAAGTACGTTGTACAGTAGCCAGTCTATCCATAATTGTGTTGCGGAGAAAGTAATACGGCTTCAATTATCTGCAGGCGCTGAAGTAAATGCCATCGTGCACAAACGTTTCGGACAATAGGAGTTTTGGAACGCAGACGTTATTGAAGTGCGGACAGTGATTTGCTAACAGAAATAAATTGTAGACAGTATGTTATTACCGACAAAGACAAGGGAGACTGGAATCCCCATTTCTGGCTTATTGGCCGCCGTCAGCCATTCATACCCAACCCCCAAGTGTGGAACATTCGAGGCTCGAACTCGTGACCTGTTAGTTAGAAGTCTACGCCTCTAACCAGTGGGCCACGAGATCGTTGCCCTTTCGGTTTCTATCGGGAATATACAATGGTAGGGGGCGCTCGCCGATCGTTCTTACGGAACACACTCGTTCCGTTGTGCCTTACGGACTCTTTCTCGAGCCAAACCAGCAGCCGCATACTGCCTATATCATGCGCCGCTGTGCGGCTGCTGGTTGGATTTGATAGAGAGCCCGTAAGACAGAACGGAACTAGTGAGTTCCGTAAGAACGATCGGTGAGCGCCCCCTACCATAAATAGTTGTTGTCGAGTGTAAATGCTTATCGGTCGGGTCTCACTAAGATATGTGATGTTTTTGCAGCGCAGCCTGGACGTTCCTCATTTCTGATTGCCAGTTACCTTTTCGCTCAATGGCAGTGCATATGTTCTGGTGCTTATCCGAGCATAAGACTTAAATCTTCGAGTATCTGACATACAACCGGCGTGTAAAACAGGTATTCAGTCTTTCGTGCACTATTAACCTACTGGCGTCGGTAGCCTCGCTGTCTCCCTTAATTGTTAAGAACTTTCTTGAAGTTCAGAGGTTTGTTATTCAGGACGTCAAGTAGGCAAACGCATGTTTCCGATCTCTCATTGTCAGAGCATACAGTCGGGACTGGTCTGATTAACAGCGGCCACCGAGTCATCTAGGGGGTACCGGTTAGACACTCCAACTTCCGTTGTCTGCGGATTCTTGTTTCAAACAGGGACGGAGGCCGTACGATTAGCCAGCTCCCTCTCAAGCCAGCAGAAAACGTCTATTCGAGCTCTCAAGTCACCCTCTCCTAGGGTAAATATCGCTCATTCCTGCCCTTACCCAGTCACATCCCGTTGCGACAGTGAATCAAGGTCGTTCTGCTGACGCATTTCCCTTGCTACTAGAACTCAGAAGCAAATGCCCGCCCTGCTATCTGTTTGTCATGAACAGATGTCCTCTATAATCTCCTCCGCCACTTGTCGCCGGCTGTTTTTCGGCCCTTGCTGCCCTACTGTTGCATAAATTGTTGTAAAAGCCTGACGCTGAATAATTGGAGATGTGCGTTTGTCTAAGGGTTTGATGTTTGCGTGATTGGGGTGGAGGTAGTCGGTTTCTTCCCATCAGTGGGTAGATCCTTTACCTTTTTTGCAGTAAAGCAGTGGTTACTAATTTGATGATTTGAAGTTAACACCAAGTTTATTTTTTAAGGCTTTGAGTTATTTCGACATTGAGTTTGCATAAGAAGGGCATTGGATTGGTCATTATTCGGAGATCTTGACTTGCGTCGAAGAAGAATTCGCTGAACGTACAGCGGAAGTATCTACATTTGTGACTTGACTTTGGCCAGACATTTCAGTCGACAACAGAAAGGTCGCAAGCCACAGCGACGCGATCTTTTTAGTGGGAATGTCTGACCCTCGGGCTTTAGTATTACAGTAGCAGCCCGTGGAAGCCCTCACGATAACGAGGAGCAGAGGTATTCTACCACTATAAATATGGCGTTGTTGCTCACGTCGATTTAACCTAGCTCCATCTGCTTACCGGTTGATTCTGTCTTATCATTTATTATACCCTGTGACCTCCTGTGGGGTTTGGATTTATATTCTCATTTTGGAGACACTGAGTTGGAGGTCGACGAGTCGTCGGCATTGCGGATCGCCTTGGTCACGGGTACGTCTTGTCGATCTGGTCTCCGGATAAGAACATAATCCAGCAGCTGCCACTGCCGCGATTGGGGCTGCATTCAGGTTGCCTTCTCGCGCATCGGGAGGCGGAGGAAGGTGTTCAGCGCAGGTTCGCATAAGCAGAATGCCGTTGTCCTTGCAGCCGCCGGGTCCACGAGGACCCATCACTCTTTCTCAGGCTACGTACTCTGTCCCGACTCGGACATTTAGGGTCACCAACGACAACCAGCATGTCCGCCTTCGGCATATTTGTCAGGAGGGCGTACAATACGTCGTAAAATTTGCTTCACACCTCGTCGGGGTTGGTCATTGGGAGGGCTTAGGTGCCGAAGACGGTGGTGAATTCGACTCCCGGAAGGGAGAGGCGTAGTGCTATATGTCGGTTATTGATGCCCTGCGGCAGACAGCAGAAGTGGGAATTCGAAGCCTGCGTTCACTTTTTGTCACAAGCCAGGACGAATAACAACTGGGTGGTTGCAGTGGGTAACTGGAGTGCGCTACCGTCAACACGCAAAAGACTTGTGGAAACTCTAGTTGACAAAGTCATACTAAGCTGTGGGTAGTGCGTGACCCGCTTTCGCGAACATTCAGGGAAATTTTCAAAGGATATTTTATGCCCTACGAACACACGAATTGTTTTTTTTGCATTTTGTTGTGAGACTATTTTCTGTGAAAATTAATCCCGGCACTCCGTTGGATATTGAAGATCGTTGTCATCCCCGTTCAATCTGGAAAAGCCAACTGAGGAATCTCGACCACCTCCAGCCGTGCTGGCTTCGGAGGCCACAGGGTCACGGGCACCAAGACCACTGAACCAGCTTGCATGAGCAGGTTCAGGTTCGTTGAGCTGGCCGTGTCTTGTGGGCGCTTTTGCCAATTCGTCCGTCCTCCGCTAAAGTTGCCACAGTTGCCTCCATCACAAACGCCTATGCACTCGTGAGAGCCCTGCTACCGTCCTCTCTTGTCGACAACAAGCACACCGTAAGCCTGACGTCGTTCGAATTTTGGTTTTCTTCAGTAGCGCAATCTGCAGCTCCTCGTGGAGGTTTGTGCGACCTACCCAAGAACAGTACACCTCGATTTGTTCATCTGCGCTTGTCTGTGGTACCGATTGGAAAAAGGTGGACAGATTCGCCTGTTGAGTATATTGTCGTCCTCATCGTATTGGTTATTCGATTTACGCCTGCGTGACCCTGTCAGAATTTCTGCTGTCGATATCCAGAAGTAAAGTCTGTGGCTCATGTTGGATAGCCTCTGGGATCGTTCCGAAGTAGGGTGCACACGTTATGCGCCTTCTTGATTTACTAATCTTTCCGTCCGTTGAAAGGTAAGTAATGCCGCTTGGCACCAAAAGGAGCAGGTTAATTTAGTGCATTCAGCTCCTGCTCCTCCTCGTCGTAGTGATTATTGGATTTCCGTCTGCATTTGACAGTTGATATGCTTTGATTTTCAATGTGAACAGGCGGCGCCATGATAGCCTGAAACTGGAGAGGAAATTGCATTAGGTATGTCAAAAAACAGACTCCTGGGAACAGCACATGTTCTCCGCCATCCAATGTTACCTTAACTGGCTCCATGGTTTCGCGTGGGATAGGTCGGCAGCAGTAGTTGAATTATCGCAGTCTACAAAAATCGTGGAATAGGGAAATTTGTGGCGCTGTGATATTAGCATGGTTGCACCACGAAGCGTAAAATTACCCTTCTCACTGCGATGTTTTACATTTCAACTTGCTTTTTAGAATCCTCGGAAGAATGACCAACTTCCTCGGCTTTGCAATGGTCACTTCGTCCTTGCGCTCTTTTGACTTGCATTTTTATTGGTGCTGTTTTGTACTACATTCAAGGCTATGTAGAAGCTCTTTTCTGTCCTTATATTTTCTATGAAAAAACCAAATAATTTGGACCTCTTGTTGTGTCACTTTTGTTTGGTTTCCCATAAATGCTTCAAAGGGATGGCATTGAAGGACTGTAGACGTGACCATGTTGCCCGGAATCCTTTCAAACGTCATCCGAACCCTTCGTGGTTCTCAATGAAAACGATTCAGGTGGACAAAGTGCCAGAACACTACATGCCCCGTGAGCTCAGTAAGGACCGTGGAATTTTGATTGCACTACTGATATAGACGTGCAGGCGAGGGGCGCCAAGTCCCTCTTAAAGTGCGAAACAGACGAAGATGTGCACAGACTGCCTGACTTCGTGGGATTAATGTCAGCACTGGAGGCTTACTGCTGGTATCTTTCCTGGGTGCCGGACGGTGTCGCCAAACACCTGATCACGGACGGTTCGTACTTCAGGGTTGGAGGGGTAAAAGGTGGAGCTTCTTGGTTGGTCGATGCTTAATGGAGTGGCCGTTTCTAAGTAAATTAACTCAGTACCCTAAGAGCGTCTGTAGTTAGCGTATCGTCTGTGAACTTCTCACCGATGCAGACATTTTAAAAACTGACACAGTCGCAGCTTGAGTATAGATTATTTGGAGGGGAGGCAATTATCTGCTAGACGTGGATAATCAGTCGGCTATTTGCGAGTGATCTCTATATGTTTGGATGTGACAGCTCGACATTCGAAAGCTACTGTATCCACAGTAGCCACTTAGATGGGCTCAGCACCAAGGATTCGTGCGTAATTTAGTCTGTTGCGAGGCATACATGCACAGCATTTGCCGTAATCTCCTCCCATGTTCACCTGTATCCGTTGGCAAGGTGCTGGGTCAGTTGATTGCTGAAATGCAAACGGTGTGCAGGTGAATTCAGCAAAACACTACTTAACTTTCCTAGTGACCTTTTGGTGGCCTCTTGGGGGTTGCAGGCGGAGCCTCATCTTGGCGATGACGAGGTGGAGGTTCGACCAGTCGTCGGCATTGTGGATCGCCTTGGTCATCGCGTATGCAGGAGGCTGTGTTCTGCGCAGGTTCGAATGAGAGGCAGATAATTGTCGCTACAGCCGCTGCTCCCGTGAGGACCCAGCACTCCTGTCGGGGCTGCGCAGTCTGTCCCGACGCGGGCATTAAAGTCGCCAAGGACAACCAGCTTGTCCACCTTCGGCACAGTCGCCAGGAGTGCGTGGGAGTCGTCGTAAAACTTGGACTTGGCCTTGTCACAGCCGGTCAGTGGTGGAGTGTAGGAGCTGATAATGGGGATCACCTAAGAGGCAGGCGCAGGCTCATCAGTCGGTGGTTGATGCCCTGCGGAAGACAGAACAGTCGTCCGACGATGTCGTTCCGGATTGCAAAGGTGACGCCCGCCTCCCGTCGCTCTGCCTTTGGACGACCGCTCCAGAAGATGTAGCCGGCACCCACCTCCTCCAGTCACCCTTGTTCGGAGAAACGGATAACACTGAGTGCAGCGATGTCCACCTTGCAGCGCGCCAGTTTCCAGGCGACAAGGGTCGTCCTCCGTTCCGGTCGGTTACGCCTCGGATTGTCTAAAAGAGAACGAAAATTCCAGGCTGCCAGAGCAGGCGGACTCGCTCCACCAGCCCGGTGGGTTTGGATGAGGGGTGATGGGGGTTAAGAGAGGGATTTTTGTTTCATGATTGTCTGTTTTGACGACGAGATCTACATCTACGTGCTAAGATATTCTAGCAGGTGGCGTGATTCCTCAGCATTTGTTTAGGAAAATGTTTCTAGTCCCTTCACGACCGGAGGGTAAGCAATGCTAGAAACCTCGCACGTCTACCATAGTCCGTCGTGGGTCACGTCTTTGTTTAGTGTAGATCGGTGCGAGTTAGCCTAAGCTGCCCGCGCGATTGCATGTCGCCCTCTCAGTAGGGCCCTTTGGAGTTGGAGTGGGGCGGGGGAGGATAGGAAAAAGTGAAATGATAGGAGAATGGGGGAAGGGACAGGATAGGGAGTGGGAATGGGAAGGGGGACGGCATCACTGGCTGTGTGGACACGCAAAAAAACGGATACTCCCACCTGGGTTAGCCCGGTGATCCAGGCGGTCCTCTGGGGTGCGGCCGCTAGGCGTAGCCTAGCCTCGGGGGGCCATATATGAGTTTTGGGTGCCAATTAATGGACGCTAGGCGCGGTCAGCACTTGCAAGCGAGTACGGCGACGCACTACGACCTTCACGTGAACCCAAAACTAGACACCGCCCCCCCCCCCCCCCCCGCGAATATACTATGGCATGCACTATAGCAAGTACTGCAACCTTGCCGCATATTGGAAGAATTGGAATGACACTAAATATATGGACACTGTGTGTAACATTCTATGTGTTATTCACAAGAGCGGCAGTTAGAAGGTATTGCGATTAGTAGCAGTAGGCAGAAATAAATCTGCTCTGAAAACATGCAGTAATTTCTTCAATTATGTTATATTCAGCCCTCTTGAATTGGGATCGTGCTGCTGAGACTTGTTGCAAGATGACTAAATTCGAATTTGGACACTGAAAGCGAGGTTTTGCCCTCTTTTACCTGCTACTGTCAACACCATCGCGAGTTCAGTCGACTTCAGTGTCTGCAGTTTTGTTGGTGATTGTCAAGGAAGACCTGCGAAGATTATGGTCTTAACGTGGTCCTTAGTCATGCATCCCCTTAGATTACAATCCAAACACTAATGCCTGCATTTCAACCAAGTAGGAATAGCCAATCAAGACGTTGCTCTGGTTTACTTGATAAGACCAGATTTACAGTCAACCAATCATCATTGAGTAGACATGCAAGATTTGCCAGAGAGTCCTGGATTCACAACTATCTTCCTGACATTCTGCTAGAGTCTGTCCCAGTACGGGACTGAATCTAAGCCCTAAATCGTTCTGAGGATGGCAAAAAGGTGAGGCTGAGTGGCAGTACGGAGAATCCATAGAGAAAATTGTGCATCTCGAGAAAGGTGGAGGCGAGAAAATATGAAACTAGTGATTGAGAAATGAATAAAGACTAGAAAAGTCTGGAGAAAGACGGCAGAATTGGTGAAATGCACAACAGAGTGCTCAAGATGGATGCGGCTGACTGGAGAAAGGGCCCGTTGGGTGTAATAGGTTTCCATAGTTATTGTTTTCGCCTTATTCAAATTTGATCCCGAAATGTGGCTTACATCACATACTGTTTTGATTGTGGCGACCTTGAAAATACATATGGAATTGATAATGGTTAACTCTATACTAGCCTACCCCATTGTGAGTTTTCTTAAATGTCTTTTTGCTTATATGCATGTAGCGTATGAATGGTTTCCCCTTGTCACTTATCCCAGAGATGAAAATCTGTGTACAGAATACATAATTTTCGAACTCATGTGCTCATTCGTGACATGGGCAGCATTCTGGAATCTTACCAATATTGTACAGATGGCTACGTTGGAATAATTAACATCTCCGGCACCTTCAGCTGCAGTTATCCTACTTTGCCACAAAGTATTACTCTGTCTCTTTGACGGCAGTTAGACAGTTGAAGAGTACTCACCGCTTCCCTCTTGATTTAGCTATGAATGGCGCGAACAAGTTCAGCTCTCTGCTTCCGTCTCCCTTCCAAATCCTCCATATAAGTACCTACTGACATAATCGAGCCGCTGGGTCATTTTCGAGGTTGCCCTAACAACTATTTTTGTATGTCATCTGGAGTTTCTATTGGAGATGACTATTCTGTCACGTGTTATTGAGGCAAAGTCGTTTCCTAGATTTAGTGGCAGCTCAATAGCGTTGCCTTTACGGTGCTGCTTTGACGGAGCTGTCAAAAAAAGATGGGTCAACAGCGCCAAAGTACCCTATTAGGAGTCATAGTGGCGGCGTTGCTTGGACAAACCTTGTTGAGGCGAGGACGTTTATGCGACTCAGCATGCAGTCGTAGCAAGCGTTCTCGCAAGCCGAGTGACGGCCGTTGAAATTGTTGCTCCGAAGTGCCTGTGCCCCTAGTTTGTTAGTCCGCGTCCAATCAGTGGAGGATTCAGCATCAATTAGACTCAAACTCCCACCACTCTAGTGCCAAGCCGTGCTCACCTCAACCAACCAATAGACAGGGTACGTTGCGCGGACAGACGACGACGCGGACGAGCGGTTGCGTGAGAAGACTTCCACGGTGTGCAAAGTTAGACCAGAGGCGGCCTGTAGCATGGCCAAGGGAATCATTCATGGCTAAAAATCACGAGTAAACAACCGGCTATGTAATTGAACGCGGAGCCCATTGCGTGCGATAGATGGGACAAGAGAGGTGTGACGGTGTGCTGCGGATGGAGGGGTAGGCAGTGACGCTGCAATTGGGGTCGGTGGGCACGAAGGGTGGCAATTATATGAGAAGTAGTGATAGAGGATAGGCGATGTTGAGGTCCCGGGGTGGGCTCGTTTAACTGTACGTCTGGGGCAGCAGTTTTGATGCGGCCACGCCTACAACCACACAAGTTCCGCCCTGGATGCGGATTATTTTCGTCCATCGACAGACAAGCCGAAAGAGGGGCGGTAATGGCACTAGCTTGAACTCGATCACAGCAGAGACTGACGTGCTAGCATGTTGTCAGGTATTTATTCAGATACGACTCAAGACCGATGGCTTGGGCGGAATGGGGAGATTGTCCTCACGAATTTCTGGAGAGGCTGCAGCTTATACGTCGGATATTCGACTTCAGCGCGAGGATTAGAGAGGTCATCCTACCGGGCAGTCGGACAGTGACGCCGAGCACCACTTCAGCAGTTTAACAGAAGAGGACGGAATTGAGGGCCCAGAGAATGTCAAACAAGACCAGGGGAGATGGTCCGTTGAGTTGTCCGGATACCCTTTTGCTCGTAGAGAGGTCTTCAGCTGGCAGTGAACCCGCGAAACCATCAGATTGGCAGTCGGATTTCAGAACACCTGGCGGAAGCGAGTACAGCATCAAAGAAGAACAGACTCCGTAACAGGTAAGATTCAAACTGAGAATGCTGATTAATCGGGATGACAGTGGGAAAACTAAAGATAGCAACCGAACGACTGAGGAAAGATTGGAATACCGTTGTCCTTATTTTCTTTGGAGGTTACCTGCCTTTCTTGCTCCTCGGAGGATTCAGATTATAACATTGTTGTATCTACATTGAAACTCTAAGCTGACGAAATTTTGTCCGGAGATGTAGTTTATTCATCGATTGCCAATCAGATCGTTCGAAAGAATTACTGACACAACTGAATTCTTACTAGTTATCTGACTTCTTCCTAAACTGGATATAGCCCCGCCAACACGTGGCCCAATCTTACCATTGGGCTAGGGTGTGGCCCTGGCCCAACCGCATTCCGAATTAATGCAGCAACAATTACTTGTTTCAAATTATGCATTTACCTGCTAAGATAAACTTTATTAAGACTAGACCACATAAAATCAAGTATATAAAGTAGCCCTCATTGTTTAAACGTCCTATCATGATGGCATGTCTTAACTTCGTCCTAGATCTACCCATACTGTGGTACATAATCTATTGCCGTTCGGATGCGTGATATTACTGTCTGTGCTAATTACGGGAAGTGGAAAAGCGTTAAAAGGCGAGCTCCCCTGCGCACTTTTTGGGAGATTGGACCAATTGGGCCAAATCCGCCCTTGTCACACCGTGGCCCAACCATGTAGCGCAGTCCAGCCCAATTGGGCCGGACTTAGTCTAAATGTTTCATTTTTGTAAATCACGATATTAGAGCAAAACTACGATAATGTTACCCTATTTATTTTCCCTTAATTAGTCCCCATCAGCTCTCTCATTAAAAAACTCCGTGGTTATCATCTGCGTTCCAGATTCCTTCTTTATTTTTGGGAGATTGGGCCATTTGGACCGCATCCACCCTTAACACACCGTGGCCCAACCTTGTAGCTCAACCCAATCAAACCCTAGCCCAATTGGGTCGGACTGAGCTGGTGCTGGCAGGGAGACTTTTGCACTGTCAAACTGTAAGGAGTTTTGGACCCGGTAATTTTTGATTTTGTTCTCTCAAGAAGATAATTAACACAGTGGATTGGGTCTTTTCTCCTTCATTTTTCGCTGTGGGGTGTGTTGAGTCTCCCGTCGATTTCAACTGCAAAACAAGGTTTAATTTCTGCCTTTGATCCGCTGTATGGTTGAACAAGTTGAGGCAGTCTAAAGAGAAAGAGCTAGCCAAAGAAAAAAACTTCTCCGAAAACCAATAGAAAAATTTTATTCTTGCCCAGTCAGAGCTTATGGAAAAATGCGGAATCCCGTCCTCTGGGGCGCCATCGGAAATCCCATAACAGTTGCCATGTTAGACGATAATAATTTCAATGCATTCTTTTTCCGAACGTTTATTGAAACTCCGGCTACCCAGTGTCCAGACGTTAATCTTTCAACCGATGGCATCTTTGAAATTCTTACCCCTCCCCTCTAGAACGTAGCCGCAACCACTCAACCTTTTCACCAGTTTCATAGTCCGGCACCAGATGGTGTCCGGTCAGCGCTCTAAAGGCGGAACCAAAAAAAGAATTTTCCGTCCCTCCTGCGTGAGATAGTTAATTTCACTCTCGAAAATGAAAACTATCACAGTTCGTTGAAGGAATCGCGTATTCTTCCTATCCCCAAGCACGCTAATCTACTTCATTTGATTAACTGCGTTCAGTAAACACCCTTCCAGCGGTTTCGAAAAGCTCAGAGACCCTGATCAAAAATAAGGGGATGTGTCACTTAACAGAGAGTAACCTATTGAATACTTCTCAGTATAGATTCCCCAAGGCCCGGTCTTGAGACACCTGCCAGATGTCTTTCACTGATCAGGTTTTACTATCCGGAGGCAACGGTTTCGCCCTTTAAACAGTCCTTTTCGATTTCATTAAGGAAATAGGTGGCAAAACTATGAATTATATATCGTCTTATCTGGCCCCCTGCGTACAGTGTGCTAAGAGTTCCAGCACTATCTCCGACTCATTTGCGTGCGGAGTAGGTTTATTCAAGGCAATTTACTTCACCTGCTCTTATTTCGCTTTTTTGTCAATGGTGCATCAAATTTATTTCAGAATGGCAGTCATTTTAGATATTCCGATGTTGCTTATCGATGAAGGCCGACAGATAGCGACATCGTTTTTGTACTTGGCTCTATACGGCGCGATACCTTTTTCCTGTTGGTCATCGGATTCACCCGTGAAGATACCCTCACCTAGTCAGTGTACGTCATTTTGTCTGTC